GACAGGATAAGCCACATTCTTCAATGATTAAAAGCATAATAGATGTATAAAGCTCCAGATAATCTTAACTGTTACCATTATCTAAATGTACTGCCCAGTGAGAAGGCTATACTTTTGCTTTATTCAAGTTCTGTAAACATTTTCTACCTGTTAGCCTCATTGAAAAGTAAGAACAAAAGCGTACCTTAAACATGGGACATTTAAAAAAACCACGTAACTAAAGTTTGCAATTGCGTTTTTTTGCAAGCATACTTCCATTACATCATGGTTGTGTCTGAAGCTTTAGACATACAAAGCCACCTGTAAACTTGCAAATTGTAAAGATCTCTATTAAAAAATATATATCTTCAGTCACTTGGGAATTCTTAAAAAAAATTTTTCTGCACTCTCAGCACTGACAGAGTAACACTTATTCTAAATGACATTTTTCATTATATGGCAACCTAAAAACATCTGTAATAGCCACAATCTTCTTTGAAGCTATTTTCTTAGTGGTCAGAAAAATTATTATTATTTTGGATAGAAGACTAAGAACATAACTAAAGTACAACAGGTTTCCCTTAATGACATACAGATCTAAACCTTATTTACGAGGACTGTGGTATACAGATAAATTACCAATTTTAATCACTATTCATATAAAAAAAATTCAGACACTGTTAGAATTCTGAAGTTCATAATGTTACCTTTTGGAATCGTCTACACATCTGCATTAAATGGAGGATTCTGCTTCTGTCTAAATGTCTGTGGCCAAAGCCAAGTTTTCGAAATCTGACTGAATCTATGATGAAATTCTGGAGTTTCCCAGGTTGGCATCACATGCTCAGAATGATTTCTGTAGGGATTTTTTTTTTTTCTTTGGCATGGATGAAGGTCAGTAGTTTAGTGGAAAGATCAGCTTGTACAGGTTGCACATGCCCCATTCTGTAAATTAACCAAGGTAAAAATGAGAAAACATTTACCTCCTCTTATTCTACTTAAATTCAAAGTCATTCCCTAATACTCAGCTAACAGAGTTGTTCATGTATATGTGCGCTATTTGGTTTATCTTTGTTCAAATTTCCATTGGACTGAGGAACAGAAAAAACCACACCAGCAGTATCCTTGAAATCTCCACATTTACTTGAGGGTAAAAACACGAACATTTCTTTGCCTTAGTCCCTTGACTCCTCTAAATTACTCTTTCTTGATTTGCAAAAGAACTGCATGTTGTTTTTTTTTTAAAGATAAAACAAAAACTTCTGACAGGCAAGATTTTTCCATTACCGCTTTTAATTGCATTTCACCCAAAATCTAAGATATTCGTGTACCTGAGCACACTTCTATTATCTTTCGCTTAAGGAACTCAAAAAACTGACAGAGGTGACTGAGCTTCCCAAGCCTGTATTACCACCTTCAGAGGGTGTTTGAAGAGCAGGAACCTCTCTCCTCTGGTAGACAGGGCCTAAAAAGACTGAGCACCCAATTTAATTGGTTAAATTATGAGTCTGCAGTTTGGTGTCATGAATATCCCCTTATTGTTTTAAACCACAATACCTCATTTCTCATACTGAAGATGCTGAAATGCTATGACTGTTCTGAAAGTCCTCAAAGCTACATTGAAAATATAAAGCTGATGATCTACTCCAAAAATTTTCCTTGAAAAAAAAAAAAAAAACAAACAACAAAAAAAAACCCAAAATGGGATATTCTGACAAAAAAGTCTCAGCAAAAGCTCCCAGTGAAATTGAATTGAAACCCCCCAGTTTCATAATTCCCTAATCTGAACGATGTGTTTATAATCTGCTGCCCATGCTGCTGTTCTGACCTCCTGCAAACCTTTGCAGGCAAACACCCTTTAAAGTTCTGGGGAGCTTCATTTGTCCTCTGCCACCCTATTCTTTTTCAACATGGAAAAAAAACTCCATCCAACATGTGAAGAATTAGCAATCAGGAAATCGTGCTTCAGTGAGACTCACTTTTACCTACCTGAGGAATAATATGTCTCAAAATGCAAAGGTGGATGGGGCTCCACAGTATTTTACTGCAAATCTCTGCCCACAATTATTTGTGGTCAAAACCGAGTCTCTACAGCTATTTCCAGTTGCAGTGTTTTAAATGAATGACATTCCTGTTCCAGGCAGAGCATCGTAGTCCTCTGGCAAAATGCATTGTCTGTGAGGAACAAATAATGCTGGAACTCTTACTTCTAGATTTCAGCATTAACTCCTCACTCACGGAAGTTTATAAACTCAAATCCGCACCTTTTTTCGAGGTGTGCCTGGGGTATTTTGTGTGTGGATTTCATCAGGCAGCACATGCACTTCAGGTTCAGGAACACTTCTTCAAAGAAAGGGTTTCTTGTATGCCAGCATGGTGTGAGCTTTGTCCTGGCTCTGTGGCCCCCTTTTCTCTGCTGTTGTCGGGGTGAGGGCTGTATTCTGCAGCCGGAGAGCCAGATGGTCGCGTTGCCTCAAACACCACCATCAGAGTCACCAGTTATGTCTAGATTTCAGGTCAGTTAATATTCCTTACAGGAATCTTGGTTCTGCTACCAGGCACAATTCATAGCACCTCTTGTCAGAGACACCATATTTAGGATTGAATCAGGACTTAAATTGATTAGATCAAGTTTAACTTTGTCCTACATCCAAAAACCCTGTGTGAAACAAGTTGTGAAATTTGTAAATGCAACTCACTGTTAGCCTTTAGTATTCTTACCAACAATTTCAATTAATAAACTGCCCATTTAAAAGCTGAGCCGTCAAGTCACAGTTGAGTCTGGCTATGGCAATGGAGACGCCAATGTCTGGATTATGGATAAAGAGGGTTGCAGAATGAATACGTCCAACAAGAACTAAATTACACATCTCTTTCTTTGATTTAAGCCACTAAAATATAGGAGATACCAGCCCGTGGTATAGTGGAAATGTAAATTCACAAGACACAATCACAAAAAAAGTATGAATTAAAGGCAGCCAAGCCTTGCCAGTAGTTAGGTACAGCCACTAATGCTACTACTACGGAAAAAGCTGTCAAACTAGATACTGTCCTTTGTGTCTCCTGTCTGCTAAGCTTAAGACTTTCCATGATTAGAGACAGAAGTTATTGAAAAGTAGAAAGGACACATAGAGGAGCAAGATAAAGGGTTAAGAGTTTCCAGGTGTAACTTTAAGGTATTTCATTGCTGTCACCCAGCATAGCAAAATCTATCTCATTAGACCCTGTTTACTTAAAGATAAGCCTGTCTTTTCCCCATGGCTGAGCTGGAGTCTGAATAGAATACCCTGCTTTCCTCAGTGAAATGGTGCCATTCACTTTAGGAATATTTAGCAGTTCGAGGTGTTTTCTGCTTTGAATGTCTACCCCACACATACTATTTTTCATTCAAATAACCAAAATCTTTTTTCAAATATTTCTAACATTTTCAAAATAAACAGCTCCATGGTTTGCAGGCATGAAATCAGCAAGATTCTCCAAGATGTTTGGTAGGAGTATGGGTTGATTATTAAGTTCTCTTTCTTTTCCTTCTATCCGCAAACAATATCCACAAATCCTTAAGAACGTGAGATTATAATTTAAGTTGATACACGATACGATGTATATTTAAGCCTAGGGAAAAGCAAGTGTGCAGTTGCAAACAGTCCCCACTTTGTACTCACGCCTTTTTATCATGCATCTCTGAACATCCACGCCACCTTGGACCGTTTCCCAAAAGACTAGCCCCATTCTTAAACATCATTAATTTCTTTATTACTTCTTGCAACTTAAGAGAAACTAAGCAATTAAAACCTTAGATGCATTCTTCAAATCCTACAGGAAGAAATCAGCTTTTCAAAATGATCTGATAAAGGAATATCAAGGCAAAATCTCAATATTGTCTTGAAACAATTAAATGACTGATATACTCTATTTTTTCTAACTATCTTACGCACAGCAGCCACTTATTGTATGGTTTGCAGTTCTAACAGTATTTAATATTAGATGTTGATATAGCTGAATCCCACTAGTTCTGATGTAACAGTGGTACGTGCATTACTGCAAGTCTGAGGTACATACTTCACTTTCCTCTGGGCGTTCATTCCCTCAAAACCAGAGTGCTGAATACAGCCAAATGTTGCCCATGCAGCTGCAAATGAGCCATATGTCCACTTCATTGTGAATCCCTGAATTTCCACTGGGAATGAAATAATAATTCTTTGAGAAATTAAAAAGACTTTTTAGCTGCTAATCTAAAACAGATTATTCTTTTTATCTGATTATTATTGTCAAGAACATTAGCATTCCATTGCAGCAAGGTCAGGGAATTTAGAAGAGTATTAATAAGCTAGCACTGGGTTCCCTCATATATTCCCTAAAGTCACATAATACTCGATCAAAAAAAAAGAAGTTAGCCTCAGTATAAAATGAAAAGAAACCCAGTGCAGCTGTTAATGTGTACTAATTAGCTTGGCTGACTTCAGAGCTATGTATCTAATCTTTCAATCAGGCCTGAATGCCTTTCTAAAAGCCTTACCACAGGAAGACTTCATAGACTTTTTTCAGTAATTGCTTTATGCAGTTAAGAATTTCCAAGATAGAATGAGCAGGATAGGCTGCTGCCTTTCGTGACCCTCATGGTTTGTCTGTAACTAAAATTTATTCATTTTGAAATCATGGCTTCATCCAGGGCACTAATTCTCAAGGGAACAACCCCTCCTGACACACAGGGCTTTGAATCAGGCCCTTTTGGAACAACAAATATTCCTATGTTCTAAACAAAGAGAGGGGAGTATAAAAGCAGTTCTATAGCAGTTTTACAGCAGTTTATTAAAAAAAAAGGCGATTTCAATACAAAAGCAGTTCCATGGTATTCAAACCTCCCTATTGTCAGAACAAGATGGCAGGTAAAAAAAATGAAAAGTCACTGCCAGGGACAACCAGACACGTTAGAAAACAACTAGAAAATGTAGATGTCAAACAGTTCAAATAACTTCATCCAAAACAGAGAGGCTTAGAGACAAAGATTTAAGACAAGGGTTTCACTTGTCTTTGCAGCACCCAAATCTACCATCGTAAATGTTGGAGAAGCCATTTCTCTCTTTTTCTGGGGGTGAGGGAGAAGCAGTGAAGATGTCCTTGCCATTTTCAGAGAACCCCGGCCTGCAAATAAAAAAGGAAGGAAGTAATTGTCCTCTTTTTTTCAACTCAAGTTTATATGGAAGTTGTTCGACTGTTCAACAACCACATCCAATCCAAATCCGCACACACTCAGGGCTCCAGAGGTGACTCTGCTCTGTGCTCAGGGAGAAGCTCAGTATTGGTTTTGACTTCACTGGAAGCTGGGCTGCGTCCCAGGCTGATGAGGCTCTTTCACTGGAAAGCGGAATGTTTTGAAATTGCCTCAGGCCTTGACCTTATCGTAGGTTGCTGTTAGAGTAAATTCTTACAAGAAGCGCTTCCTTGCCTGCTTGCCCAAGGCCCTCCGAGGCACCTGCAGCTCCCCTGCCCTGGCTGACCAGCACTGGTCAGGAGACTTCATGCTCTAGATGCACTGCTATCCTACCTGCTCTGCCCTCCCAACGTTTCCCACTTATGTGACAGAACTGCCCTACCCTGTGTGTGTATGTGCAAGTGTACGTATATGTGTGTGTATATATATATATATATCTGAGTATGGGTGTGCATGCATGCTTTTGGGGGTTGCTGCTTTTCCTAATTAGAAATCTTTCTCAAACGCACTGTCATCACTGAGATTGTTGGCTACATAAAACCCCTGAGGACTCCTTGATCCCAGTGCAGACCGACAGGGAAGGGTAAGCATGTCTAATTTCACCCTACCTCCAAAGCTGGGGAATGCCACACTAAACCACACCGCTTCGCACCAACATGCAGGTTAGCAGCATCAGTCACTTGAGCTCTGGGGCTCCAACTAATTCTTCTGCCCAAAGCAGAGCCCTCTCAGTTATTGTTTCAACAACCTACTGAAAACATAGTAAAAACTGATCCTTAGGTCAGGACTGCTACATATTACCTCTCAAATCTTCTGTTTGCTGTGAAACCCACACACTGATAAGAATGACTTTAAACTGAATGCTACAAGAAAGGTGCTCAGAAACCTTTGCTGACAGAGGAGTAGTGGACTCAGCATCAGTGCTGAATTCCCAGCCACATGTTTTGTTCTCAATCCTAGCCTTAAAGGTCAGAGTGAGCAGTCACCAATCCTTGTATACCACAAGCAATTAGCGGATGAATCAAACACAATAGTTTTATTATCAGTACATATCCTCTGGTAATAAAAATGCAGTAGCATAGAGAATGCAAAAACCAAAAGGGTAGGTCCTCAACTGAGAAAAATTTCTGAAGTTAAACTGACTTGGGAGATGCTGAAGAAATTACCTCAGATATTTTGTTACCTGGACAAAAACAGAATAGGTCCCACAGAGCGTCCGTTTCAACTCAGCAGCCACTTTAAGAAAACAGACGATGAACTGCAGTCCACTAAGAGCTATCAGAATAGAGAGCAAAATGATGTTCCACTCCACTATGTTAGCAGGTTCAGTGCACCGAGACCAAGCGAGGCGATCTGTGAGGTACCTGTAAGAGAAACAGCAATGTGAAGTATATTAAATGCAGTGGGTGCGATTCAATTTAAATACACATTATTTTACCTATAATGTATAGAAAAAACATATTGGGCTTTATATGCTTCAAGTTTAGGAGCCAGACTCCAGTCTTTCATTACACCAGCATAACTCCTGCATAGGTTTGTCAAACTCAGCTGAGTGAAAAGACTTATTTTCCTCAAATACATCTGCTTCATTAGTTTCCCTGTTAGACACCCAAGTATTAGAAAGACACTGCCATTTTTTCAAATGGCAGAAGCCACATTAAAAATGGGAATTTTCCTTTTATGATTTAATTTCAGCTTTAGGTTAAGTCCAGCTGCCATCAGTGCTGTGCAGAGAGCAGGAACACCCCAACGCCATCATTCTAACCAGTATGTGCAGCCTAAATGGCAGAGCTGAGGTTAAGTGTCACCGCATGCAATTCCCAGTTGTTCTAGAGCCATGCTTTGCATCCTTGACGATCATAATGTGCACAACTGACATGGGCCAGCTGTGCCCTTTTAACTGAGAGATGCTATAGCCTGGAGGTGAATTGCAAGAACCTTTGTTAGACTCACTTGCTCAGTGTCAGTGGCTTTTTTCCTAAACATTCATAACTAAAATGATTTGAGCCAAATCTGGAGCGCATTATTCAGCATCTGGCCCTTTACATTGAACTTGAACTCTCATTTTTGTATTTCCAAATGGGATGGTAATGCTGATGATACGTAGCAGAGATTGCAGGATGCACTTCAGTGTTTTAAAATAAAGTTGACTTAAGTCAGAGAAGGCCATAGTTTAGGAACTATTCCTGTTGGATGCTGAAGGAACTTGTTTGTGATCCTCTGACAAATGTAATCCTCAGTGCATTCAAATGCAGCTGGAAGAGCTTGGCATTATATAACCTGAAATATTCAAGTCTTATAAAACTTGATCTTTTAAAGGGAGAATGTAAAATCTCCTGAAAGCAGACTCAGGTTACAGATCTGAATCGAACCTTTCATGCCTCTAGGAGGCTGGGACACGGACACCACTTTGTCTACCCTGCTTAAGTGCTTTATGAGATACAGCAGCTGTATGTAAAAACTACCAGTGAACAAACCACAGACTTCCTTGAGCTTTAGGAGTTAAAGAGAAACCTATGGAGTTATTAAATATAAACATGCCATCTGTAATCTTTGAACCAAAAACGTGAGGAATTTGAGAGAATATTCTGAGATAATATCCATCTACACTCACTCTAACCTTACATTCTTTACTACACGTATGATTGTGACCACCACCAGATAAAGGACACTTAGCTAGATGGACCTCCAAGTCTGATCAGTACAAAGATTCTTACGTTTAATCTTTCCTTGCAAGGAGGCAAATACTTTTCTTTGAGGATTCCGGTGCTCGTTTAAGAAGTTGAAAAACCTCACTTGCCAATATAGGTCTTATGTTCAAGAGACTGTGCCATTTTGTGTAAAACTCAGAGAAAATTTGTCTGACAACTGTTTAGATGAAGAGTTTCTTCCAGAAGAGTTACACTGATGTTTCTTACCCTCCAGCAGTGTCTTTGAAGATATAATCCCATCCACCTGATGAATTGCAGAAGGGGCCTTGGATCAATCCCCAGATAAAAATGATGCAGCTGTATCCAGAGAAAGCAGCTCCAAGCAGGGCTAGCACAATTGAAATAAAGCTCTGAAGTAAAGAGAGAAAAATATTACTGTGTAGGGCCAGTGTTCACAGCAAATACAGTCATTCAACCTGCCTAGCTACTTCCTTGGGCTTGAATTTCACATTTGGTTGTCCCAATCTTCAATATTCAGAAAGAAAAATACCAGGTAAAGAATAGTAAGCATACACATACAAAATAAAGGTTAAAACAGAGTTTAAGACAGTTTCACAACTCTCAGTTAAACATTGTTTGGGGATTTTTTTTTTTTTTTAAACTTGCATTTTTGCAAAATTGTTTCCCAAAATGCTAGAGGAACACAACCACATATTAAACATGTTTGCATCCCAGATAGTGTATATTGAGTTGTTACCAGAAAAAATAACTTCCAAATAATACAAGCAAGGGGATGAAGCTATTTAGTCAGGGCACTTTGTTGAAGCTCTCAGGACTTCTATGTTCTTATTTTATTTTACAAGGATTTTTTGGTGGGTTTGGTTTTTTTTTTTTTTGCTTATTTTTCTTTGATCCTGCTCATGCATCAGAAGGAAGGAGCTACACTTTCTGTGACCTCTCAAACCAACTTAGAATCCTCCTCTGTGAAAGGAAGCAGAAACGGAGCAGGCAGAAGGATGTGCTGGAAACACGGGAGCAGGAGGGCACTCAGAACAAATGCTAAAGAGATGCGCAAAAATAGAACACAGACTCACCCTGTAGGTTTTGTTACAGCTCTCACTCTGGCAGCACCGATAGAACACGCTACACTCCAGTGTTATTAGAATTACTGCCAACAGAAGGATCTATAAAGGGACATTATAAGGTCAGTGAAATGACTGCAGATATCAAGCCAAAGTTTCCTTCACTCATGGAAGGCAGGGACTGCATCTGTTATGCTCTGTTGAGATTTTAAAGCTGCTCAGCAGGAGAGCACAATTACTCAAGGCGTACCATGGAACTGCACTGTTTTTATTAGGCTGTCACTGTGCTTGTTTCTTGTACTTGAAAGACAAGAGCACAGTGTCTCCTATCGCAGCAAAGTGTTACTAACATAGACGCAGCTATACCAGTGAAGCTGAAAGAATAAAACTGAGCTCACAAGTAAAAGAATCGATACCAATGAAAGGAAGGATATTTTGTTGACACAACCACATCAGTTCAACAGCTTCTTGCTGGCACAGTTACACGGATCAGGGTATCACCTTCCTTACCAACACAGTTATGCTAGAAAGAGTCAGCAGTACAAGCTTTTCATTAAATTCGCCTACGCTTTCATTTGCTTTCTCTGTCAAGTATCCATAGCGTTTTTCTCAGACTATTGGACTTTTTAACTCTGATACTAGAATCGTTTCAATAAATAAGATTTGGACTCCAGAACCGCAGACCACCACTCAGAGAGGCACTGGTTTGAAAGGGGAAATATGAAAAGGGAATGTTTCCGAATCACAGCACTATCCTCTCACATGCTGCTGCCCTGTTTGTAACAGGATAATATATACGTTTTTAATAAATTGGTAACAATCCTAAGGCTAAAAATGCTTCAAAAGATGAATGTCACCGTTGCAGTTAACTTTTTCTCAAATCTTCAACTATGCTTTTCTGTTCAAATTCTCTGCCTGATCGTTTTTTTCCTCTATTAAAAAAGATTAGGTTTTTCTTCTGCTTTAGGAAGAATACACAATTTCAAAAGAATGTTTCCTGTTTTACTAAGTCTCCCCGGTCAGCACCTTCATAAAAACACCTTATGCAGATGAGACCTTTTAAAATGCTGATTGTGTACATGCACTTTTAGTACATAACCGCTTTCTGTCCCTGAAGCTAAAGTTCTTTATGAAGACAGCGAAGAGTAAGAGCAGTGGGCAACTCCGTGTTAGTTTATTACTGCAGATGAGCATATTACACATGTAATAGAGAAAATCCTACTATGCCAATCACTCTGAGACAAGCTTCTGTATTTAGCCTAACAACAGTGGCACTTGATGCACTGTGAACTGTATCCAGTCCTCTAAATACTGGACTGCATACAGCTCTTAAAAACATTTGAACAGTTATGAGAAGCTTTTTTAGTTTTTGTTTCATTTTGTTTTGGTAAAAGAGCTCTAACTCATCCTCCATAGAGAATTAAATCAACATAGTGCATGCCTCCATAATACAAGCGTAAATTACACATAACCAAAAAGGCAGCAGAAAATAAAACAATCAACCCTGCAAAATCACTTACATGAAATTAAATAGTATACATATCATTCAGTATATTCACATTTTTTTCAGTTTGATTGAGTTTCTCTGCCTGCAGTGTTTTTGTCAAGTAATCCATATTCTCTTTAAAAGCACTATTACATTGCTGCACAGTAACCCAGGATTATTTGCAGTAGAATGCAATTCATTAAAAATCCATAGAATCAACACTTACCATCACACCTGAGAAACAGATCCCTTCAAAATACCACACGTAGTTGGGAAGCTGGTAACTGGCAGCATGTGAAGCTTTCCCATTAGGGAAGTATAATAGGATGTTAACAACAATACTCCAAAGTGCAAGAGGTATCAGCAGACAACTCAAACAGCTTCCACATGTCTCTAAAGCCATCTCTCAAGAACTTGAGAAGTTTTGCTCTTCTAAGCTAACAAAAGATTACAAGGTTTTAAATATGAAAAGTGTTTTGACCTCCTCAGTTTGATTCAGTCATTTCATATTCACAGGAACCGGGTGACTGGGGTATGATTCCAGAGACACAGAAGTGCTTAACAGTTAGCAGAACAATAGACGAATATTGCTGTCTAAACTCATTGTCCTTCCTAAGCATATGTCTTTAAGTAGCAGTTTCCTTTCTAAAAGATCCTCCTTTATGATCTTCCAAATGAAACATGTCTAGAAGTCAGACTCAGGAAGGAACTTCAAAGATCTCATTTCCTAGTGACTGCTTAGAAACGCACTTCTCCCAACAACACAGATTACGACGCGGATATTCTGTGACATGAAGCAGGTTGCTCAGCCTTGCTGCAGCTCAAAATTTTTCTCTGCCTTACATGGGGAAGGGGGCTGTGAAATGATAAATATGTCCAGTCTCTGTACAGAAGGCCACAGATTGCCTCGCACTACAGAAAACTAGTACCAGAGCTTGGCAGATACGGCCCTAAGGGTGAACCTACACTTGCTGCTAACTTGGGGCAGCCTCACAAAAACACCAAGCTGAGTCTCAGCCACTTTGCAGACAGTACAATAATAACCAAAAAACACTGGGTAGAAACTGCCAGGCAGACTTATTGTCACACTTTAATTTCTTTTTTCCACAGCATTATGCAGCGGAACTGTTTCATGAATTAAATCCTGCTGTTTCTCTAGTTGTTTTACTCTGTGCTTACAGCTGAGTATGCATAGCTACAGATCTGACCTAAGTACACGTGACTTCTTGTACAGGACAAAAGGTCTGGCTGTTTTTTGAAATGCCTGCTGTTTTGCACTGTGCAAAGCCAAAGCCAGACAGTTTCCCCATTTTCACGTGTCATCATTCCCTAAGCAACTAAACATCCATTCCGGTAACACAGAGCCGGAGCTGTTTGAATGCTCACAGCACGACCCAAGCCGCCTTTCCGTGCCCCTGTGAGTCATCAGAAAAGTAACTCAAGAATGAGCTTAGGGCTTACTCAATAGGAAAGTTGTAGTCAGAGAACAAAAAATTGGGGCTCTATCAAAAGCGAGAAGGCTGATTTTAGAAGCAATGATGCCATAGCATATTTTCCTTCTGTTTCCTCATGAGCTGTTTTAGGCTCTGCACTCATGAGGCTTCTCTCATGATCTCATAAAAGCTGTTCGGGCTGCACGTTGTAACCAATTCCTTCCTATTGCTTTGAATGAGATCACCCAAGGAAAGGGGCATGGTGGCACTCATGCAGTTACACAATTTTTCTACCCTTTCTCTGCTGCGACTCTCCCCTGTTTCCCTCTCCCCTTCTTTTTCTAGGAGGTTTCATTTTGAAGCTCTGAGACACTACTCCAAGGATCTTCCCATATTTCCTGTTTTACTCCCTAATCACTACGGACACTTTTTTCAGACCTCCCTCCAATTGAAATTAGTGGCAAACCTCCCACTGCAGGCACACAGGCACGGACAGAACTCGTATCATCAACACCGCGCCTTACAGATCAGAGAAAACAGCTGAATTACAAGCAGGCACATCACATCCCCAAGACTGATTTTTTATTACAAAACTCGGAGATCATGCAATAGGCTGAAATCTTTTTTTCTAAAAGCAACGGCCAAAATGACTAACGAGCAGCTTGGTTTATAATCAGATTTGCTGCTACTTCCCATAGTAATTTGTTCTGATTAGAAGAAACTTACTTGGAAAATGGCACCTGAAACAGCATTCGTTCTGTAGTACAGCAGTCCACATCATTACTTATTTTGTATTCAAACGGAGCTGTGCAAATACCAAACCAAGGTGTGTTTTTTTTGCTGGCACACTGTACTGCTAGAACGGGAAACAACCATTTTATACTAAATATTAAGCAAACCTGGCAACCAGTTTCTCAAATATCTTACCAAGTGTTGCAAAAACTGCTTTCCTGTTGCTGCCAATATCCACGAGTTGACGCCAAACCCATTACTAAAAATCCACGTTTACTCTGGATGAGCGACTTCTCTACTAACTGAAATGAATTTAACCTAAAACCACTTCTCCATGATGTAACCAATAAAACTCCCAAACCACCATCAGGCAACAAAGGAATTCAACTGGCCTTTTATTAAATGACAACATAAACAGTGAGTAGTAATGCTGTGCATTACTGCTACGTGATCTGAGCTGAAGTTTTAATTCTAAGCTCTAGCCCAATCATTCTGTGCATGGGAATTTCTAAAATTGTTTCAGTTCTTTCATTAGTTGTGTGTACCAGAAAGACAAGTGACGATTATGCAAGCATAAAGGCAAAAATCTGTAAGTTGCATGGGAATTATACCCTATTCCATTGAGACCCTCTTTTCCTCCTCCTCTCACTCCACACAATTTAAACTTGCAGATCCTTTTTCAAACAGTGGTTCTTCACATATAAAGACACGATGCTGCACAGCAGCAAGGACTTTTGGGCATGTATACGCACATATGCACATGCATATTCTCCTCCCTCCTATAGCAGGGCAAGACAGGGATAAACACAACAAGCAGAAACAGTATTAAAGACTGCCTCAGCTACTTCTAGGTATTTATGTATGAATAAATGGCATTGCAAGAAGCAGAGATCCCGAGATTCTAAACACAAACTTTTCCCATCTGTGAGTTCCTTTGTTGCTGTTGATGTGCATATGCAATTTTGTTTTCACAGTTAATTTATTTTTTTTTCAGATATATATTTGTACTGGGCAGACTTGGCTGTGAGGACAGCCTGAGGTACATCTCAAGTTTCTGGCTACCTTTAAAGACCACCCTCCTAGTTACAAATACTACTAAGTACACACTGACACCCATGGGAAATTCTTTTTCTCCCATAAACAGAAGCTAACTTGCTTGTTTTCAAAGACAACATTAACTGCTAGATTCCAACACTGAGCAATAATGGTAATCAGCTTCATTTCTTCAAAATAAATGGCATGTCACATTTTGTTTTTCACTTGAAAAATGCCATTGCCAGTAGCATGCTGACCTTGCCAGCAATGCTGTTGGCAGCATATTATTCAGATTTACTTTACTTTGTGATAGAACATCCACTGTAATATGCTACAAGCCATATTTCAGAGGTTCTTGCACAGGATCTTAGAATACTGCCTCCAGGCTGCTTACTGGTGAAGTAAAATATTTCAGATTAATCTGTCACTGCTGACCTGAATTTGCACTCTATTTTCTGAACACTGCTACGCCTGGGGGTCTGCTGAGTGAGGTAAAAAACAGGACCCAGACCCACATTTTGTTTTGTCTCAAGGCTCTGACTCATCAGTCAGGAGGGAAGCCTCCCTTGGGAGAGCAGCAGAAGGGACACAGATCTGTAGCTCAACTGCATGGGAACCTCCCTCCAGTCCTTGAAACGGCCATCAGCCATGAACTGCTAGCCCAGACCCAGGACTAAGACTCCACACACACAGTTGTATCTGTCACAGAACTGCCACTGAACTATCATATCCTTGTTGATGCACAGTTGCCTGGCTCACCTAAATGATCTAAACCAAAGAGTGAAGCAGTTCCCACGCTGACAGAGCCTGCTGGAGAGGAAAAGCAGGTTATAACCCGACTGCTTCATATCCATGTTCTCATGCCCCCACTATCCTTTACTCTAAGACCAGGAAAGCAATGTTTCAGCGTGGGCAGGGAAAGAATCACTGACACCTGCTGGGCATTTTTAATACAAATCTTTATTTGTGAAATACAGGAGAAGTTCAGGAAAATCCTGAAAAGGTGAAGTGCATGTATCTGCCCTCAATCATCCACATTTTCCTGCTGCTTTGTTTTTGCTCCATCTGAGCATTCATTTATATCCAGGCCAGACTAGATTGGGCTTGTGTTCATTCCAACATCAGAATGAAAGTGCAACTTTTTTGGGAAAGCAGCATAAAGTACAGAGCTGTTGTGTCAGTAGAAAGAAAAAAAAAAAAGCATCTTTAGTGATGTGTTCAGGCAGTTGCCCATACTAAGGTGAAACAAACCAAAGAAATTCAGGATATATTTTGCCTTTAGATACAGGCAGGTTAGTGGAAAACCTGCATATGACTCCAGGCTGGCCCCAAGTCAGTTAAATTGATGGCAACATCACAGTTTGCCAACAAACAATGTGCATTTTAGTACGCATGGAATATAAAAAAAACCCACAAACCACAATACTTAATACACCACATGCATGTACCGACGTCAACGCATTGTCAGGTTTCTAGCAAGTGTATCTCTGTGGGGAAACAAAAAGAAACACACACATATTAAGGAGAAGAATGCTAATATTGTATCCAACTATAACAGCTAAAATTAACCTGACCACATTTATACAATACAGGAGTTACAGCACAGAAGACAGGAGTGAGAAGACAATAACAGCTTTGAAAGAGCCCCAACATACAACTATGTCAATTAAAAATGTGAAACACATTCTTAGCCATAACGCATGTGTGACATAAATCATATCTGGTTCATACCTTCAGCCATTGCAATTCCAACACTACCACTACAATACCGATTTTAACAACATGCTGAAACTGTTTAACAAGCCTCTAAAGACATTTGGAGGAAATTCCCCTTCCTCACTCAAAAAAAACCCCCACCTTCAAAAAACCCTTCAGACAGATCTGTCTGAAGGTTTTGTTAGCTATGTGCTAGTTAATTCCTTCTCTTGTCCTACTTTTACTAAGCAAGGCCAGGATGCTGCAGTTTTCATTATATACGGCCTATTCTCAGTAGTCTATCAGCTGCTGTGAGCAGAATATAAGGCTAGAGCAATAGTTAGAACAAGCAGCCTACCACATAACTGCATCACACTATGCAACAGTGGTTTAGGCTATGGCAAAGACCACCATCACCAGGAGATTTGTATTTCAGTTATATCACCTATATAGTGCTGATGATCACATGTGCCATGGAGGCGGGGGGGGAAGCCTTCCAGCTCCTATGCAGACTAACTTCACTGTGACAGCTGAGGAATCAGCTGAAAGCCTGTGGTCAAATACTACATGAAAATGCTGAACACAAGGCTATAAAAAAAAAAGTTGTCCATTGAATTGTTGCTTAAGAATACCTAAAAATTAGCTGCGAGTAAGACTCCACAGTAGCATCAGTAATGATAGTGTTTCACGTTCATCTGAGAAGCATGGTTATAACTACAAAC